ACAAGGCCAGAAAAGGGGATCAGGCCTCCTGGAACTGGACTTACAGTTGGGAGTAAGTATGTGGGTGCTGGGAATTGAACTTAGGTCCTCTGAAAGAGCAGCCAGTGTTCTCAATAACGGAGCTATCTCTGCAGCCCTGCATAAAATATTCTAAAAACTCAGAAGTCACTCCCAGGAGCAGGCTGAGTACTAGTCTCAAGGATGAGCTTTCTTGGGATTCCCTGAGAGAGGCACAGCTGAGAATTTCTCCCAGTGTTCCTGTTGGTCCCTCCTCCTGACTCTGGAAGAGGCTGAGACCTGGCTGTCTCTGCTAGGTCTGCTAGGTCATGTTACCACTGTTGCTAACCCAACTCTACCAAACTGGACTGCTGGTGTATGTGTAAGGTGTTTGCAAGTGGGTAGTACTGCTGCTGCCTGCTAACCTGTGAACTGAACTGCCAATTTCCAGACAGCACAGACAGGGGTTGCTCCAAAGAACCCTTCTAAACAGGCCCATTTCCCCTGCCTCACCCCCGTATTCTTTCTTTTCCACAACTCTGGTGGGTAGTGGGTTACAAGGGAGGTTAGAGCGGTTAAGAACCATCATTAAAAATAGGATTTGAAAAGAAGTTATGACAGGCGGTGGTGGCGCACGCCTTTAATCCCAGCACTTGGGAGGCAGAGGCAGGCGGATTTCTGAGTTCGAGAGTTCGAGGCTAGCTTAGTCTACAGAGTGAGTTTCAGGACAGCCAGAGCTACACAGAGAAACCCTGTCTCAAAAAAAAAAAAAAAAAAAGTTACAAGTGGGAACCAGGTATTGTAGACCTTTGGATGGCTCAAGTGCGAGACTTGCTGAGGGCAAGGCCTTGGTTTTTGGTTGTTCCCCCACCCCCACCCCCGCTCCAAAGTCAGAGGTGTAGAAACAGCACAGAAGAACATCTTCTAAATATACGTTGTTGTTTCAGTCTTTCCAGAACTGAGGATGGAACCCAGGACCCATATCACTACTCCCTCCCCCAGCCACTCCCTTTCCCTATCCACTCCCTCTTCCCCCCCCCCCCACACACTTTGAGACAAGAATTTTATTGTATATCCCAGGATGGCTTTGAGCTGGTGGTCCTCCTCCTTCTGTCTCTCAAAGTAGCTGGGAGTGTCTGGATGACAGAAGTCCATCACCATATCTGGCATTTCTTCAGGTTCTTGTACTATGCTTAACACAGTGCCTGACACACAGAAAAAAGCCCAATCAGTGTATTACTACTTGAAGTGGGGACTTCTGGTTTGTTTGGAAAGTCAGTTATGTCAAATGATGTTTTCCTGAAGCAGACACAGGCAAAAGGATGTTTTGCTAAAGCAGACACCTGAAAAGACCCACAATGAAGGAGTATAAATATGACCCCACAGACACTGGGAGCTGGAGCACAGGTTTGCTTTGCCTTGCTATTCTTCAGTAACAGCACACATGTATTGGTTTGCCTTACATAGCATTGTTGAGCTCAGCTTGTTGTAACACAGCCATTGAGAGAAACTTCCCAATGAACTTCTTGTAAGGTTCCTGTGACTTCTTGCCTATTCAGTGGCCTTGGGCCAATTGGCGAGCCTTGCAGTTTCTTCAGGATTGAACTACAGCTGCTGGTTTGTGCATGGTGTCTGCCTGCCGAGAGGACTGGTCTGCAGCTGCTGGTTTGTATTTGGTGTTCACTATGAGACTGAACTGCTGACAAAGAAGATTGAGCTCACCCTCCAAAGAGCCATTGTTAACAGGCCCACTTTCCTCACGTCCTAATAACTTCTCTCTTCCACTACCTCTGGTGAGTAGTAGGCTAGAGAAGAGGTTGAACGTTTATTAAAAGTAAGTTGCAAAACATTTCTGCCTACAACTACTCCAGTTGGCTGCAGACCACAGCGCACAAGTGAATGTAGTATGTAGAGAAAACAGAATGCACTGCTGCATAAGAAAGCTATCAGAAACTAAGTGGAGGCAGGCCAGAAGGACAACTCTTTTTTTAAAAAGCAAACAATGTTTTAACGACAGATTTTTAGTATGTTTATAGGCTAGAGTAAATGTGTGCAAGACAAGAGGACTCTCAAAAATCTAGAAGAATGTAGTGGGCTGGCCTGATGCTGCTGATATTCTAATGCTAATACTGGTTCCCCAATGCCTGTTTGAGTTCTTACTGAGAGAGTTCTTACATAGACTCAAGTAATGCTATATGACTTCGCTCCCAAGTTACTTCTGATTCATGTATAAAGATGTCAACAGCCAATAGCTGGGCAGAAGAAACATAGGCAGGGTTTAGAGTTCCCAGGCTTGGTGGGTCAGAGGAGAACTATGAGGTGGAGAAGGTGAATGGGCAAGTCTCGTGGCCCTGGGGGCTAGCCAATTGGAGTTAAGAGCAGCCCAGATGAGACATAGTAATAACTCAGGGTTATCTATAGGAAAGAAGATTCTAATAGCATAGAGGGTGGATATCTGCCCAGCTCGTGTGCTGTTTTAGGCTTGTTGTAAATGATAAAAGTTGTGTGTCTTTTATATGGGAACTGAATGATCAAGACAGAATAAAATTCCCAGAAGAGAGTATTAGAGGTTGTAGAGGTGAATAGAACCCAGCATAGCTATATTGATGAACTTCACACATGACAGACTCCCCAAGAACTGATGGAAACATGTTCACTTAGTAGGTACACTGGAGGACCGGGACAGGACAGTGGGATGTGGGTAGTTTCTTCTTGTGGTCCTTTGGTGAACAATAGGTACTCACTACCTGACTGTAATACCTGACATTGAAATATTGGAGGAGCAACTGGGGTTAGGACTAAGAAAGGAATCATGCATGGACCACAACCCTTCTCAAGAGCACTGTGGTTTTCCCCATATAGTTTATAGAGAGGAGGTTATTGAAACATGATGGGATCCTCCCTGACTAAAGGACCAGAATCTTATTTGGAATGGACCGTGGCAATGAAGAGCCTGAGGAAGCTTGCATAGTTCTCATCTCTGCTCTCCATGGACATGATGAAAGTTGGTCACAATAGCTTTCATTTTAAGTCACAACCTGGAGCCAGAAGCAACTGTAAAATTCCTGTATGAGGAATTACTTCACTAGTAGGTGGTAACAGAGGCAGTTCTAACTAACATTGGAGGCTTGGCATGCCTACAAGGTCTTGGCTAAGGAAACCCAAGTTTCTTGGTCTAAGGGGTTCAATCTCTGTCATAACATTAAATTTCTTCTAAAAAAAAAAAAAAAAACTAGATTCCTGTTTTGTGAAGAGTAATTCCAGAAGGAATAGACTTCTTCCATTAATTATTTTAATGAAATCCTATCTGGTACTGCCCCTGACCAGAGGGCACTCATTATCCATGAAGAAACAGAAAAACGGTTACAATCAGTTTGCTAAACACCTAAACAGAGGTAATTACAAATCAATGTTTCCCATCTGCTCCCCACCTAGAGCTGAGAGCGGATGCACCACAGGAAGAAGCGGATGCAGGAGGATGACCCAGTTCAGCTGTAGGAATGATGTCATATTTGATAGACCACTTTGGTACAGCTTCCCAAGGCAAAAAGGTAGTAAAGTTTTCCTGAGCACCTAGTCAGGTGGGTGACATTTTTCCAGCTGTTGGTCATCTGTAGCAAACTCAATTCTACCAGTTCCATGTCCACTTCTTGCTGCTTGATACTGGTCCCCCATTTTTTCTTAAATAAGCCTCTCAGTGTACCATGCTGATGCCTCATACCCAGCTTGAACCAACTTTCCAAAAGTGGTGAAGATTTGGTTTTATTTCATCTTTAAAAAGAAAGGTGAGGGTTTAGAGGTCTGAAACTGGGGCAGGAGAGATGGCTCAGTGGTTAAGAGCACTAACTGCTCCTCCAGAGGTCCTGAGTTCAATTCCCAGCAACCACATGGTGGCTCATAACCCTCTGTAATGAGATGTGGTGCCCTTTTCTGCCCAAGCAGGTAAAACATTGTATATATAATAAATAAATCCTTAGAGGCCTGAAACCCAGCAAACACAGTGGGACCACCCCCAAGTCAGTGCAGCCTAGAGTAGTCAAGATTGGACTGTACAGTGCATGGCTTGATACTGTTTTTTTCTGTATGATCCCTAAGAAGAGACAGATTTCACTTGTGGGATCAAGAGCCACTCTCCAAGAATGACTGAGCAGGGGCTGGAGAGGTGGCTCAGTGGTTAAGGCCACTGGCTGCTCTTCCAGAGGACCTGGGATTCAATTTCCAGCACATGCTGTCTTACAACCATCTGTAACTCTGATGCTCTCATTTGTCCTCTTTTGAGTACCAAGCCCAAACATAGTGTATAGATATACATACAGACAAAACATTTAAACCCACAAAATAAAAATAAATAAATTGTTAAAATATGTATATACTCCTTTAAAAAAAAAAAAAACAATTGACCAGAGCCAGATGTGGCAGCATCAGCCTACAAATTACTCAGGAGGCTGAGGTGGGAGAATCACTTAATCCCTCAAGAGGGAGACCACTGTCTCACACACATATATTCTCTTTCTCTCCTCTCTCTCTCTCTCTCTCTCTCTCTCTCTCTCTCTCTCTCTCTCTCTCTCTCTCTCTCTCTCTCATACACACACACACACACATACACACCAAACCTGGGCACAAAATAAAATGATTAAGTTTCTGAAGAGCTATCCTGTGGGTAAAGTAATAAAAGCAAGTAATAAAAGCACTCTAGACCAGGTTTACAAAGGAGAATGCAGTAAACAGCTTACTAAACATTAGCGCCATCCCCCAGGGAAACGCCCCACATGTGAGGTAGTGAGCTCTGGTTTTCAGCAATGGCCTATCATTTGGCAGGGGTGTTGCAAACGTGGAGCCAAACTCAGGTTTTCCACAAGATGTGGAGACAGAGGCAGAGCAGGGAAGGTTCTGCCCTCTATAAATGAGATTCTCCTGACTGAATGTTATCTGTATACACAAACTAAAAGGCAGCCCCTAAAAGAGATTGGGAGAAGAACATACCCACATTATTTTAAGACAGATGAGCTTGGAAAACTTTAATCAAATGGCATCATCTCTCCTGATAACTGTTTCAGACATGCTGTAGGACAACCAGTGTGGTGGAATACACTGGAGTTCAGGGTGTGGAGCAGGGAGGCAGGATTTTGGGTCTGCTCCCATTCTGTAAAACCTCTGGCAGCTACTCCTGAGTTTTGTACCTCTCCATAAAGTGACTTTCTGTAATCTTTGTCACGCTAAAGAGCACTGCTCCTCTGGCTGGGCCCTCCTATAAGAGGTCTAGGGCTACCATTGGGGGTGTTGGGGCAGCACTTGTGGACAGCCAGGGACCACCTCTGGCGAAAGCACCGGCCACACTCAAGGCAGGGGAACGGCTTCTCCCCAGTGTGCAGAAGCTGGTGTTGGGCCAAGTGGCTCCACTGGGCAAAGCGTTTGGAGCAAAGGTCACAGGCATAGGGCCGCTCGCCTGAGTGCACACGCCGATGACTGGCGAGGAGTGAGGGATAGGCAAAGCGGCGGCCACAGTCATCACAGGCATGCAGCTTCTCCTCCGTGTGGGTGCTGCGATGGATGGCCAAGGAGCCGCTCCTTCGGAAGGCACGTCCACAATCCGGGCATGGGTAGGGTTTCTCGCCTGTGTGCAAGAGCTGGTGCTGAAGCAGGGTGCTACGCTGAGAGAAGCGGGCTTCACAGTGCTCACAGGCATAGGGCCGCTCCCCAGAGTGTACACGCCGGTGACTAACCAGGCGAGAGGAGGAGGAGAAACGCCGCTCACAGTCAGGACACGGGTAAGGCTTCTCTCCAGTGTGGATGCGCTGGTGGATGACCAGGGCAGTGCGCTGGCGGAAGCGACGGCTGCACTCTAGGCAGGTGTAGGGCTTCTCTCCTGTGTGTGTCCGTTGGTGGATAGCGAGCAGAGATGGGTAGGCGAAGCGACGCCCGCAACTAGGGCACTGATGAGGCTTCTCACCGGTGTGCGTGGTCCGGTGATTGGCTAACGACCGGCTCCGTCGAAAGCAGCGGCCACAGTCGGGGCAGTGGTAGGGCTTCTCACCTGTGTGTATGACCTGGTGCTGAGACAGGTTTTTCCTCTGGGAAAAACGTTTGCCACACTGGTCACAAACATAAGGACACTCACCAGAGTGTGCCCGCCGGTGACTGACCAACAGGGAAGGATAGGAAAAGCGGCGCCCACAATCCGGGCAGGGGTAGGGCTTCTTCAGATACTGGGCGCACTTGTGGCTCTCCAGGGCGGGATGGTCAGGGAAGGTACAGCCACAGTCAGGGCAGATGGGGCCCCCGGATGTCTGCCTGGGAATCAGCCGGGGTTTGCTGGGCTTCCGCCCTCGTTTCCCTTTTCGAGGTGCTTCCTTAGGTGGGAATACTTCCTTCTCTTCATTCTTCTGCCTGGTTCTGGTTTCTACCAGGAAACAGAGAATTAGCAAACACTAGACTTCTATGCTTGCCTATTAACAACGTTAAAGCTCTCAAGACCAATACACTTAGCTCCGGCTAGTTATTAGTATCAGAGACAGTTAAGTGTGTTGTGGAGATGTGCAAGGCATTTAGAGCTCCTCAAGCAGCTCAAGTAAATTATTTTAGGGATAGTAAACTGACTTTTAAACAGTGTTTTGGGCACTAAGGGTTTGGCTTGGTTGTCAGAGTGCTTGCCTGGATCCTGCACTATATGTAGTGGTTCATGGCTCATCCCTGGTTACACAACACATCCAAGGCTTTACTAAGATGCATGAGACTTTGTCGGTACAAACAATCAAACAAAAATCTTGAATGTTTTTAGTAGCTGGGGAGTAGCTCAGGGGAACACAGAAACCTTTGTCCCTACTTAGTTTCTTCCAATGTTCTGGGCTTTCGTTTGTTTTTTAGTCAGGGTCTCGTGTACCCTAGACTGGCCTCTTTCTTATCCTCCTGCTTCCACTTCCCAAGGGCTAACATTACATAAGTGCCGCACCTGATTTATATGCAGCGCTGGGGAGCAAACCCCGAGCCGAGCGAGTGTGAGGCAAGCACTCTACCCAGTGAGCAGCACTCCAAGCCATCCTTACAGGATTTTATGATGCAGTACAAATACATGCGGTTTCCCCATACCTTTCCTACATACAAGATAACTGCTCCAATGTGGGTCCTGGGATCCAAACTCGGAGCTTCTGGAAAGGCTGCAGGTGTTCTTAACTACTAAGTCATCTCTCCAGCCCAGAATTTGCATGTTTAAAAACATTCCTGTCCTGGTTTTATTTCAACTGGACACAAGCTGGAGTCAGCTGGGAAGAAGAAACCTCAGTGGAGAAAATGTCTTCACCAGGTTGGCCTGTGGAGCAGTTTCTAAATTAGTGATTCATGTGGGAGTGTCCAGCCTAATTTTGGTGCCATTTCTGGACAGGTGGCCTTGGGTATAGAAGAAAGCAGGCTTAGCAAACTAAGAGAAGGAAGCCAGGAAGCAGCCCCCCTCCATCTCCATAGTCTCTGCTTCAGTCCCTGCCCCTGACTTCCTTTGATGACAAACTGTAATGTGGAAGTGTAAGTGAAAAACTCTTTCATCCTCAAGCTGCTTTTGGTCATGATGTTGACCACAGCAATAGATACCTTAACTAACACAGAAACTGGTACCAGGAGTGGGGTATTGCTGTGATAAACCTTACTATCTGGTTTGGGGAGGAGTGTGATGGCAACTTTGGAGCTGGAAAAGCTATTGAGAGCTTATAAAGTTCCAAGGTGATGTTTGAGACTCCGTAAGATTCTACCAAGGCCATTTATGTGATATTTTTTATTAGAAACCACTAAAAGGGAAACCTTTGCTTAAATGGGACAATTGATACTATCAACTGGATCTAAGAAATTGGCACAACTTAAAAACAAACAAACACCAGCATCAGCAAGGATGATAAATCTGAGAGTTTCTCCTCCTGATCGGCACACAGAAGCTGTGGTCCATGATGGGACCAACGCTGCAGCTCATGTTGGCAGCTGAAGTTGGGTATGTGTAAGTTTCCCCAGTTGTATTAGTTTTGAAGGCATAAAGGGTCATGGAGAGCAACTGAGGCTTGGTACTGTGACAGGAAAGCCCAGACCACTGATGAATGTACAACCTCAGTTGAAGTAGAAACCTCAGGATTGAAGGGGTCATGGAGAGAAATTAAGGCGTGGCACCATGTGGCAGGGTCAGTGTCTCTAAAGAGATCCCAAGAGAGGCTACTGGTGAACTCTACTGGTAGCTCTAGTGTTTTGGAGATAGCATTTCCTTGGGTGACCAGCACTCACAGTAACTTTGGAATGGAGCTAGCTTGAGCTTAGGAAACAAGCTGTGTGTGCAGTGGATGACAGACAAGTGCCACTGCCAGGCCCTCTGAAGCTTAGATCACTGAGTCTCAGTCGGACACTGAGCTTCACAGTTAGACTTTGGGTTTGATTTTACTGTAACTGTGCCCTGGTTATTACACTTCTTTGAATAAAAAACACATGGAACTTTTTTTTTCTTTAGAGGAACTCATAGTTAATTTTAGAGAGATTTTGGATATTTTAGAGAAACTTTGAAAGAGACTTTGATATTTTAAGGAAAGTTTGAAACAAGAGTTTGAATTGAGATCTTGGAATGAACAAAACAAAGGTTATGGTTAACAGGGGTGTGTCTGTATGTCAAGCTGACAAGGGGTCAACTGTGCTGACTTGTTCTACGTCAACCTGACTCTATTTAGAGTCATCTGGGAAGAGGGAACCTCAGTGGAGAAAAAATGCCCTCACCAGACTGTCCTGTGGTGCATTCTCTTAATTAGTGATTGATTAAGATTGATGTGGGAAGGTCCAGCCCACTGTGGGTGGTGCCATCCCTAGGCAGATGTTCCTGGAAATGTAAGAAAGTAGGGGAGCAAGCCAGGAGGCAGCCTTCCACGTGGCTTTCTGCTTCAGTCCTGCCCTGATGCTCTTGCCCTGCCCTGACTTCTTTTGATGATGAACTGTTTCATGAAAATGTAAATGGAATAAGGCCTCTCCTCCCCAAGCTGCTTTTGGTCATGCTGTTTGTCACAATAGAAACCACTGACCAAGACAATTCCCAAATATGCAGCTGCTGGTCTAGAAGCACTTTGAGAGATGTTGTAAACAGTGTTCAAAACCTTGGACTGTATTTCATCCAGTAGTTCACAAGCCTAGATGCACATTCAAATCAATGGGGCTTTTTCTTTTTTAAAGTCAAGAGTGAACCAGGGGCTAGAGAGATGTCTCAGTGGTTAAGGACTCTTTCTAGTCTTCCCAGGACCGATGGGAATTGAAGTTCAATGGAGGCTAAGTCCCAGATCCTGTGAAGGAGTATCTTTTTCAAAGCTCAGTAATTCATTTGTGTCAATGGAGTACCGCCTGTAGTTCGTTTGCCCACAGTGCAAGCAACCTGGTTAACTCTCATCAGGCGACAATTTTAGATTGGGTCGACAGTTTAGAGCATTACACAGGAGGGCAGCATAGTCTCCGTGGGTATTTTTCACTCACTTCTCTGGAATGTTACCCATCTCCGGTACTCCTGCGGATCTAGGGCTGCTGGTTCCCAATCATCGGTATTTCGTTCCAACCAGGAGATGAGAGCTGGTTTGGGACCTGCGCATCCTGGGGAAGGAGAACCAGTCAGAGGGCTGGCCCGGAGAGATGATGCTAAAAAATATATGCCGAGGCTCTGTCCCAACCCCTAACAAGCCTATCGCAGGTCATGCCCCCACTCTACCCCGCCCTCAAGCTCCATCATCCCTTAGGCCCGCGTAAGCAGATTGGGCCGGGCCTCACCGAGCGCGCCCAGGAGGCCGTAGGTCTCGCGCATCACATCCCGGTATAGAGTCCTCTGCGCGGGCCGCAGAGACCCCCACTCCTCGGAGGAGAAGTACACGGCCACGTCCGCGAACTTCAAGGCCCTTGGCCTCCTGCCCCTTCTCCGACTAGGTCCAGCCTCTCCGGGTGCCCGCGCGAGGAGCGGAGCCGAAGGTGGCGCCATGGGACCTGCTCCCCGGCCTTGCCCCGGCCTTGCCCGGGCTTAGCACCGCGTACCCCGAGACCTAGAAGCACGGCCGGGAAGGCCCGGAGAAAATCGAATCGGCGGCCTGAGGGGCCGGGCGGCCCGACACAGACCGCCCCGTTATTCAGGGAACTCCCGCTGGAACTTGGGTGAGAGGCACCGGAAGATGCCTTCGGGGAAGATGGCGGCACTGCTCCTGTACCACCGCTGCCTAGAACACAGGCAGGTTCCAGCTATCGATTTTATTGACCCGAACGCCATGCCGACTTCTTAACCTCCTTGCCCTAAAGTGTAATGGCGCTGCGAGATGGCTGCATGCCTACTTTTCTCCTATCTATTGCATTCGTTTATTGGTCGGTAGCTGAAGATCGGGCGTTCTGATTGGGTATTGGTGAAGGCGGCTCATTTGAATGAAGCCAACAGATTCTTAAGGGCAAGAAGGTGGACGATGTGTTATGAGTAGGAGGCTCTTCTTGTATTCTCCAACGTTTGTTTGTCCTACTTGGAGAAGACGTTTCTACACGTCTTCCTAGGGAAAGTCACATAATGTCAACATGGATTTTTGAACAGCTGAATCCTATGATGATAAAGTTGTCAAAGCCAGGAATTCTGACAAGGACTAGATGAGCAGGGAGCAGTGATAACGTTCTGATTCACAAAAGGTACGTCTGGTAAAATTGAGTGACTAGAATGGTAAGTTGACTGGTCTTGCACCTTGGGAAGCTACTAAGTAGTCTACAGAAATGAAGGACCTACCTTCCAAGGAAGTTTGCTTGTTTGGAGGTGAGACTAAGAGCTTTGGGCTTACCTTTTCTTTGTACAGTGGAATGCACATTTAGGCTACCGGGGGAACAAAAGGCAAATGGCTAGCTGATCCTTTCATTTGTAACGAGGCAGGGAAATCACCTCTATACCGTTGCTTTCCTAAATAGTACAGCTGTATCATCAACACGTTCCAGCGTAGCATGGACAACTGGACCCTGGTTTTGTTGTTGTTGTTTGTTTTTTTAATTTATTTATTTTATATATATGAGTACAGTGTAGCTATCTTCAGACACACCAGAAGAGGGCATCAGATTCCATTACAGATGGTTGTGAGCCACCATGTGGTTGCTGGGAGTTGAACTCAGGACCTCTGGAAGAGCAGTCAGTGCTCTTAACCGCTGAGCCATCTCTCCAGCCCATAGACCCTGGTTTTAAACGAAGAGTATATAACCCAGTGGTAGGCATTTGGCTAGCATGCATGGGGCCCAAAGTTCTCTAAAAATATTTTTTTAAAAATAGATAACCAGGACTGGGTGTGAAGCAGAACCCTTTGTTCCCTTCTAAAAAAAATATCAGACAACCAGTGAGGAAGACTGTACAGATGCGGCAGTGATTCACACATCTGGAGACCACACAGAGTCTGCGCCTTCGCTGCTGAGAGCCATCCAAGCACCTGGAATACTAGAGTAGATTGTGTCTGAAACGTAAATGTCTAGAGTCCTTATGAGAATAATTATCACTATGCCACAGTGCAAAGCGCTGGATTTGATTATTTATACTACCCCTTCCCCAAAGTGAACTACAACAAAAATCATAAGACCGCTGGCTACGGTGACATGCCTTTAATTCCCAGTACTTGGGAGGCAAAGGCAGGTAGATCTCTTGAGTTTGAGGGCATCCTGGTCTACAGAGTGAGTTCCAGGCCATCCAGGGCTACCTCAAAAAACAAACTGCTTCAAAAAACATAAACAACAAACTTCCCACAAGTCTGGATCAGCTTGCTCAAAGTCTGTCACTAGATGCAGGAACGAGATCCAAGTATGGAATGTCTTCTCTGTGACACTAGCAACTCTGTGTTGGGAGAAAAGCCTTAAGACTGATTTCTCCACAGCAGGAGAAGTGGCTCAGTAGTTAAGAGCACTTGTTCTTACAGAAGACTCACATGGTGGCTAACAATCATCTGTAACTCTAACCCAAGAAATCTGACACTGTCTTCCACCAGCAGCAAGCACACCTGTGGTACATAGATATATAGTCATGCAAAGCACCCATATCCATAAATATTTTTAAAAAGATTCAGTTCATGGTTCATGCTCAGTGACTGCTAGTGCCTAGAGATGCAACCTTAAATGTTAAAACACATTGATTTTACAGACTGCCTGGACCCTGACCTTTGCCTGAGGGGTCACTTCACCATAAACCCAGACTTGGACAAGCAATATCAATCCTAAGGAGAAGTAGAAAAACTACTTATTAATGAAAATAATAATTGCCTTTTCTTCTTTTCCAGATATGGTCTCATGTTGTCCAGTCTAGACTCAACACTCACTATGTAGCTGAGGATGACCAAGAACTTCTGCATGCTCAAATTACAAGTATGCACAGCATATCCAGCTTTATTTGGTGCTGGGATAAAACCCAGGGCATTATGCCAACTAGGTGTCTTAGTTGTCTACTGCTGTGATGAAACACCATAACCAAAAAGCAAGTTGGGGAGGAAAGGGTTTATTTGGCTTACACTTCCATATCCTTTATCATTGAAGGAAGTCAGGACAGGAACTCAAGCAGGGCTGGAATCTGGAGGCAGGAGCCGATGCAGAGACCATGGAGGAGTGCTACTTACTGGCTTGCTCTCCATGGCATGCTCAACCTGCTTTCTTATAGAACCCAAGACCACCAGCCCAGGGATGGCACCATGCTCAATGGGCTGAACCCTCCTCCATCAATCACTGATCAAGAGAATGGCCTACATGGAGGCATTTTCTCAACTGAGGTTTCCTCCTTTCAGATAACTCTACCTTGTGTCAAGTTGACATAAAACTAAGCACACAAGGCAAGCACTCAATTGAATCACATTTTTAGCCCACCTTAACAAATCTGTGCAATCTAGTTTCAGACTGTCCTTTCCTGACTGACATGTTCTTCACTGATGCATCCCAGCATGATAACACAAGTCCTATCACTAAGCCATGGGGCCAGAACTCACTGATACATCTCTGATTACTCCTGCAGCCACTCTCCAAAAGGGGACTTCCTAGTTCCTACAAGTCTTGTCACTTTATGCGTCTTTCTTTTTCCTTCTGCCCTTGCTCACTCTGCATGCCTTTCTCCAATGAGCATCTTTCATTATGAGTTCTTTCACAGACCCTGACCCAAGCCAGAAACAACCACATTTCTGAAACCTACTTGAAAGATGAATTCCCTGGTATAGGGACTAGCCAGGAAGTGTAGACCAGGCAGGTGGACTTGCACCTGGTGTAAGGAAAGTTTGTTACTGTTTTTGTAGCCATTGTGACCAAGTACTTGATGGAAACGAGGGTTGTTGCAAGGTTGCAGGAAATAATTAATTGTAACGGCAAGTATCTCCCACTCCCCCTGTCCCCCCCCCATCCCTCCCCCCCCTAAACCCAGCTACTCTCTGCTGGCCTGTTCTTATCTAGTGGAGACTGACTCAGAGCTCCAAAATCTCCCCACCCAGCTCGATAAGTTCCCACTGGCTACCATGCCAGCCCCATGCTTCAAAACCTCCACAGTCTTTGTGGTGCACATCTGGCAAATGCGCTTTGCTCCTAACAGCTTCCCATTCATGGATTCAAAGAAGCAACAGAGCACCTCTCCCTCCAGGTGAAGTGATACACTGCGGCTAGGTGGCCACTGAGCAAACTGCCTCTCTCTCCTGCAGACCTGTACCGTCCTTGAGTGGACACGAGTTACAGGTTAGGACAGCCTAGCTCTGCCGAGACAGAATAAGCTAGTCCTTAATAATTCCTGTTTTTCAAAGGTCTGTCAGATGATCCTGGGCCAGAAGGCTGAAGACTGATGCTCCAACTTCCTGCCTTACTGGGGCTGTATCTGTAGGCAGCTGTCTCTACAGTTTGTCTCAGGTCTGGAAGCTGTGTTAGGCTTCCTATATTTTCAGATAATATTGGTCATTCTTAGATTTCTGACGAGGTTGAAAGACTACTTATAGTCTCATAGCCAACCCAGGCTACTTAGCATTGAGAGAATATATTTGAGAAGATAGTTTTCAGATAGTATACAAGCTAATCCAGGACATAGCATATGGATTTATAAGTCTTTTAAGTTAGATGACAGAATGTTCTATTTTATTGACAAAAATGATGGACTCGGTATTATGTCTATCTTGTACTTTATAAATTACAAAATGGTAATAGTTGTGCTCGATTTATATTTGAGAGAAAAGTTTTATTTTTTATTAGAACAGAAAGAGGGAAGCATTGTAGATGGCCCTGGTACTGCCTGTATTTTTATGTTAAAAACACATAAAAGAACATGTCAGTTTTCTGCTTTCCCAGGAGGAGCTGTCTGGAAAGAGGAATGAGTCAAATACTCAGTTGACTTCTGTGAATCTTCCCCAAATGAATAAAGAAACCAATCACTGGATGTGTAGGAGGGACTTCCAGGTTAGACAGGGAATAGAGGAAGCAGCAGAAAGACATACGGGCTTTTGGACAGGGATAGCATGAGGACAAGATGTAGTTACTAGTGTCTCCTGGCTTATATGGTGGATTTGCCAGGATTTGCTACTGGAGGATTTAGATTTAATACGGTTTACAAGATTAGGATTCTAGGCATTGTGCCCAGAGACTGAGTTACCATTGTTTCTGAACTAAGTTTGTGTGGTGTTTTCCTTCACTCGGAAGTTTGGGTTCCAGAGAGAAAGGTATGGCAGCAACGCATGGGTTTGCCTGATAAGTACCACAAAAGGCTGTGGGAGTGTTGAAGCATGGGGCTGGCGTGGTAGAGTCCTACCAGTGGGAACATAGCAAGCTGGTGGAGAGATTTTGGAGCTCTGAGTCAGAGAGTCTCCACAAGATAAAAGCAGGCTGGCCATTGCCCACCAGTGCATAGCTGGCCAGCCCACTGGGGCAGAGAGTAGCTGGGCCTAGTGCAGGAAATTGGTGCCCCTTTTTTAATATTTCCCACAACATGGGACAAGGTACCCCTGCATGAAGAAACTGGTGCTGGACCAGGTGAACTTTCTGAGAGAAGTCAATACAAGGTCTGGGGTTGTATTTTAGTGGTACACGGCTTGCCTGCCATGCACAGGACTCAGGGTTCCATCCACAGTAATGTTATATATACATATATATATGTATGTATGTATGTATGTATGTATATGTATGTGTATGTAAAAGAGTAAAGAGCATGGTGTTGTGAGGCGGGGTCTCCGCCAGAACAAAGAGAGCATCTGAGCATGAGTATATATTGCTTGGTAGCTGAGAATCTGAAGATGTCCAGCTGCAGGCCCTACACTAAGATGTGGAAAGAGTTTATAATCCTAACAAGCCTGTATAAAAGACACACAATCCAGGTGTTTTACTTACAAGCCATGAGCATAGATCGGGCAGGTTTACAGCTGTACTAACTTATTCCCCAGCTATGAAGTCCCTTGTTACTTTCTGTTTTTCCTGGCCATGTGGGCCTGGGCCATGGCAGCTTCCTCCACCTCCATCTTCCTCATTTCCTTTCCACCTGCAACTCCTCTCACTCAAACCTCCAGCCCCACCTTTCTCCCTCCACTGCCCAATCACAGGCTCTAGCCTTTTAGTGACCAGTTAAATCGGGGAAGGTTCACATGGCATCACTTTGTGTACGTGAGGATCTTCTCACTGTGGGCAACTACCCTGTGAGAAACCAGTATTTAGCATTAGAATCTAAGCAGCATCAAACCAGCCCACTCCACTAAGTCACTCCACAGGGCTCGCCACACTTCCATAGTGAGTACTCCCTTAAGTAGGCTGTGTCAAGGGTAAAACTTCCTCCTTTTTTCAAACAAGGTTTCACTGTATAGCCAAAGTGACTCTCCTGCCTCCTAAATGTGGGGTTCCAGGCATGCATTACCACATCTAGTTTCACCAAGGTGCTTGAATCTCTTCCTGTTTTCATATCTAACTCTTGCTTTTTGTAAAACAAGAGAGTTTGGATCTCTCTTTTTTTTTTTTTTTAAGCCAACCTGGTGTACATTGTGAGTTCCAGAATAGCCAGGACAGTGTAGAAAGAAACTGTGTGCAAAAACACACTCCCCCACCCAAAAAAAGAAAAAATTGTCTTTAGGGGGTGGCGATTGTGCAGTTGCATGTGAATCCAGAGCAGCACCAAAGCTTGTTTGTTCAAGGCACAGGACTTATGTGGGGGATCTTTATTCAGAAGCCCCATCTGATGCAGGAAAAGCAACAGTTTTCTATTTAAGGAAGAAGAGGAGGAGACCAGGTTAGGATACAAAGACAGGGAAGGTACAGGAAAAGGTGTAAGTGTTCCTGCTCAGATGGAAGGGTATCCTGGGACTCGGGAGCTCAGGAACCACACAGTTCTGAGAGGAAGCCTCCTCAGCAGAGGTATTGCAGCTTCTAGGAAGGGTATCCCTAGCTGAGCTGAGGAGCTTAGGAGCCTCAGCCGGACTCTATTTCTTCAAGTCTTCCCTCCTTTTCTTCTTGGCTTCTTGGCTTCTTCTGATAAAAGAGTCACATCAAGCAACAAATCTCATAAAAGGGATTTGTTGAAAGGGTCCAGGTTGTGGAGGGATGAATCCAGGAATGGCTGCCTCCACTCCCAGGAGAGGACAGCAGGGAATTGAACAAAGGGCAGGACCAATACAGGAATTTTTTTTTTTTTTTAAGCAGGCAGAGATTTCCAGAGTGAGGATTGGTGGAATTTCCTGCTCAGGGATTGGTATGTTTTTCACCCCCTATTCCCTGCATCAGGCCCATAGGTTAGGATGAGAAGACCTTCCTGGCCACAGGCAGCTTTGACTGAGGTGTCATCACTGCTGAGCTGCTTGGGGAGGCTGGAAAGGAGCAGCCACCACCGTGGACAGCTCCTGTGAAGCTACCTCATGACAGGCTGCAGGCTGAGACAGGAACAGAGTTTTTGCTATTTTGACAGGTGCCGCCATTTTGACAGCTCCTGCTACAAAAGAAGTCCTCACACCTGAGTCTGACAGATGCCTCTGGCTAACTGAGAGGCAAGAATTAAGATCTGCTATGAAAGTTTCTGAGTTAGTTTGGGTTTTATTGCTGTGAAGAAACACCATGACCATGGCAACTCCTATAAAAGAAAACATTTAATTGGGGCTGACTTACAGTTCCAGAGGTTTAGTTCACTGTCATTATGGCAGGAAGCATGGCGACATGTAGGCAAACATGGTGCTGGAGAAGTAGCCGAGAGTTCTACTTCTTGATCTGAAGGCAGCAGGGAGAAACTGTGTACCACACTGGGCATAGCTTGAGCATATGAGACCTCAAAGACCACCACAACAGTGACACACTTCCTCTCACAAGGCCACACCTCCTAATAGTGCCACTCCCTATGGGACAACCATTCTAACACTTCAGTTTGTGGCAGCCATTCCTATTCAAACCACCACAGTTATAAAGGGATTTTAATCCAGCAACAAAGTTGCTCTGGCTGGAATACAGATCCACCCTTAGTAAACAGCTTTAATCCTAAACAGTGAAAGTACAGTTAGATGGTAGAAGGAAGCAGCCATGTTTGAAAGTGACTTCTTTTTTTTTTTTTTTTTGGTTTTTCGAGACAGGGTTTCTCTGTGTAGCTCTGGCTGTCCTGGAACTCACTCTGTAGACCAGGCTGGACTCGAACTCAGAAATCCGCCTGCCTCTGCCTCCCAAGTGCTGGGATTAAAGGTGTGCGCCACCACCGCCCGGCCTGAAAGTGACTTCTAATTGAAGGGCAGACAAAGTGACAAATCAGAGAAAGAGTTGACAGAATGAGTTAGAGATAGGATACACCCAACTCACACCAGAAGAGACAGAAAGGAGAGGTAACTTAAGAAAGCAGGGCAGAAGCAGGGCAGTGGTGGCACACGCCTTTAATCCCAGCACTTGGGAGGCAGACACAGGCGGATTTCTGAGCTCCAGAGTTCGAAGCTAGCCTGGTCTACAGAGTGAGTTCCAGGACAGCCAGGGCTACACAGAGAAACCCTGTCTCGAAAAAAGAAAGAAAGAAAGAAAGAAAGAAAGCAGGGCAGAAAGAGAAAGCAGTTTTACTGGGGCAGTTATAGACAGGTTGCAGAGAGAACAAGCTAGACACAGGTGAAGACAGAATGAGCCAGAGAATGAGGAGCCAGATTAGAACAGATTGCCAGAATTAGTTTGAGGCCAAGCAGAGCAATTCAGCCAGAGGCAGCTAGAGAAGCCAGATTGAATCAATGTAGAGAGGGGTTTGAGCCAGAACAGCTGAGTTAAACTGGCCATTAGAGGGCAGAAAGAACAGGAAAGGGTGAGAATATTCCCCAGTAAGTCTCAGAGAGTGAAAACATTCTAGGCCTAGATAAGACTGTATGGAGGCTGGAAGCTTCCAGGACTAGGCCTGGGTTAGCAGATACAAACAGTAAGCCTTGGAGATAATATATCAGGAGAATAAAAGTTAATTTTAACACACAGTTGCAAACAACAGGGAGACATTATTTCTTTTATAGATATATTTTAGCTAAGTGAGGTCCTGTACATCTTTTTTTTTTTTTATTTTTATTTATTATATGTAAGTACACTGTAGCTGTCTTCAGACACCCCACAAGAGGGCATCAGATCTCATTACAGATGGTTGTGAGCCACCATGTGGTTGCTGGGATTTGAACTCATGACCTCTGGAAGAGCAGTCAGTGCTCTTAACCTCTGAGCCATCTCACCAGCCCGGTCCTGTACATCCTTGACCTAAGCACCCAGGAGGCATAGGCAGGATCTCTGCATTCAAATTCAACTTGGTTGTAAATTTTTTATGTGTATGTGTATCTGTGCTGTAGTGTGTTTTACTTTATATGCCTGGCCCTTTAAAGGATGCTATGCTCTTCTGTGTCAGTTGCCTCCTTAGAATCCTGGGAACAGGTTTGGACATAAAAAGCCAGCAGAGGCTGAGAGCTGGGCCAGAGAGTAGGATAAGAGGTGACAGTTGAGCCGGGAGAATATATTGTTAGGAGACAGGGAAAGAGCCCAGAGATAACCCACAAAGTCGTGAATAAAGAAAAAATAAAGGATAAAAGCTACACTGTGCAGCACCCACTTTCATGCAGTGCCTGGGGAGGCCAGAAGAGGGCATCAAATATTCTGGGCCTGGAGTGCTGGGAACTGAACTCAGGTCCTCTCAAGAACAATCAGTGCTTCTCTTGTTGAGATGTCCTCCAGATCCATCCCTGTCCCCACACACTTCAACCCATGTTTTTACCTTCTGAGATGGCAAGCCTAGCTAAAACACTTCAGCAATTGGCCTATGACCTCATTTGCCAAGACTGGTGGGGAAAGGCTTCTCAGCAACCCCTTGAGCTGTATGTGGCCACTGTGTGACTTTCCTATAAGAAGCCCGCACTTCTCTTTCAGGTGTGCTTTATAATTTTCCTGGGAACCACTCTATCTTTTTATAAACTTCAACTCTGCTTCATACTGGCTTACCCTGAGATTCTTTTTCTAAAGTGATTTTGTTTTTTGCTGTTGTTGTTCTTTTTTGTGTGTGTGTGTGTGTGTGTGTGTGTGTGTGTGTGTGTTGTGGTTTTTCTGTTTTGTGTGTGGATGTTTTGGGGTTTTTGTTTATTTGTTTTGTTTGGGGGATTAGACATAGAAGAACTTTCCTATTACCTTGCTGGATCCAGGGATCAAACTTAGGTCATCAGACCCCTAAGTAAGTGCCACTACCCTCTGAGATGTCTGTACCATTTTGCTGGCATGCAGGCTGAAATTCCTCTTCTGAGAATACATCACAAGAACTTACTGGGCATGGTAGCCCATGCCTGTATTGTAATCACAGCATTCTGGAGGCTGAAACAGGAGAATCTTGAGTTCAAGGCCACCTTGGGACAAACAGGGAGAGCTTGTTTGGGAGGGGAGGAGGGAGCTGGATGCAGAACCTCAAAGGATCCTTATATCTATGTCCTTAGCAGCATTAGGTAAAACAGCCGAAGATGGTGTCAGCCTGGGGCCCATCAATAGATAAATGTGCAAACAACACAAAACGTACAATGGAATATTATCCAGAAGTATCTACAATAGAATGTAATTCTGACACATACTGACCACAGATGACTGTGGACACTAAATGAAGTAAGCTGAAACATCCAGCCTTGGAACAACTATTGGATTCTTCAACCTTATGTTATAGACAGTTATTGCTGCTTTAATAAATTTCTTTCTATATATACAGAGTGTATTAGGGTTCTCTAGAAAAACAACTTATAGAATGAATATAATATTTATAAATATATAATCTTGTATATATCTATAGAATGGATATATATGAATGACTTACAGGCTGTGGTCCCAGCTAATCCAACAATGGCTGCCTATGAATAGAAGGTCCAAGAATCTAGTAATTATCCAGTCCATGAAGCAGGATGTTTCAGCTGGTCTTTGGTATACACCAGGATTCCTAAGAAGTAGGCTGTAATGCCAGTGAAAGAATAGACTTGCTAGTATGGCTAGAGCATACAGGCAAAGAAAGCAAACTTGATTCTTCCATGTCCTTACGTAGGCTTCCAGCAGAAGATGTGGCCCAGATTAGAAGTGGATTTTCCAAGTTCAAAAGATCTGGATTAAAGGTGCATCTTCCTGTTTCAAATATCTGGATTAGAAGTAGATCTTTCAACTTCAAATTAAACAAAAATCCCTCACAGGTATGCCCCTCCATTTTGGGGGTTTAGTTAATTACAGATGTAATCAAGTTGACAACCAAGAATAGCCATCACATAGAGATTCACTCTATCAGTTCTGTTCTTCTAGAGAACCCTGACTAATACAGCTCCATAGCCAGACACTGTCTTCCAGGCTCTGGTGGTACACGCCTGGAATCCTAGCATTTGATAGGTCAATGGAGAGAATCAAGAGGTCAAGGTCAAATGTGGGGCCAGCCTGGGCTATGTGAGTTCTGTCCAAAACAGACAAAAACATCTGCATCTCCTTTCTCCCTTGGAGCTTTCGTTCTACAAACAGGACAGATTTGGGGAAAATGCTAGTGACAGAATGTTGCTTGCGTCCATGCCATCGTCTTTCAATGAATACAATGACTTCAGAGTTTTGTTTGGATTTTTCTTTTCTCTCTTTATATATTTTTTTCAGCTAATGTTTATGAAAAGTGAGTACTTAGACCTGTGCTACTAAGGAAAGTCTTTCTCAAGAAAGTGATTGGTTCTGCACAAGGGTGAGCCCATCAAAAGCCTGGCATAGATGGGAGAAGGACTTAGAAAGTCACTGGGAAAGCAACAGGTACAAGGGACAATGAAGGGTGGGAGGAGATATGAGAGGATTAGGGGAGATAGCAGCCAGAATGCATTATATACATATGAAATTGCCAAAGAACTTATTTAAAAGTATATACTTTTAGAGGTGTATGTTTTTCTTCATATGTCTGAGTGTTTTGTCTGTGTGTAGGCACAAGAATGCCTAGTACAGAGGGTAAAAAGATCGCACCAGATCCCCTGGAACTCAAGTTACAGAGAGTCGTACGTAACCATATAGGTGCTGGGGATCCAACATGGGTCCTCTGCAAGAGCTGCAGGTCTAACCACCAAGATAGCTATCTCTCCAGCTCTCAAGTAAACTTAAAAATATGTCATGGCATCTTTTTTTTTTTTTTTTTCTGAGACAAGGTTTCTCTGTGTAGCCCAGGCTGTCCTCAAACTCAGAGATTCGCCTGCTTCTGATTCCCAGGTCCTGGGATTAAAGCTGTACACCATCACTGTCAATACCATGCCATCCTTTTCACCCTTTGCCGAAAAATAGAATCAAGTTCTTCACTGGCTAGTTTTGTCAACTTGAAGAAGACAGCTCAGTGGGTAAATGTGCTTGCCACTAAGCCTGATGACCCGAGTTATATCCCTGGGACCCACATGGTAGGAGAGAAACAACTCTTACATGTTGTCTTCTAATCTCTATACATGCGCAGTGACATGTGTGCCCCAAACATAAGGACACATTGGATGGCTAATTTTGGTTATCAGCTTGACTACATCTAGAACTAACTAAAACCCAAGCTGGACAGGACTCAAAAAAAAAAAAAACCAGGATTTTTTTTTCTTGGTTATATTATTTGAGTTATAAGACCCTTCCTCAGTCTGGGCCACTCCTTCTGGTGGCAGCCCATATACAAGGACATGGGAGAAGGAACTCATCTGTCTTGTTTCTGAGCCATATCCCTTCACTGGTGGTAGAACCTACTTCAGGATCCCAACACAGACTGAAGACCAGCAGCTCTCTAGGACTTCCCTGGGACTCCATCACCAGACTGGGACTGCAGAGACATCCAGTCTTCTGAACGGGAAAACTACCTGACCCTTGGCCTTTCAGTCAGGAGATGGCCACTGTTGGACTGCTTGGATCACAGACTGAAACCACTCTAATAAATCCCAGTTATGTATGCTCATTTTAACTGTTCTATTCCTTTAGAGAACCCTAACTAATACAATACACAAATAAACATACCTTTTTGTCTGTTTGTTTTTCCAGACAGGGTTTCTTTGTGTAACCTATGCTGTCCTAAAACTAACTCTGTAGACTAGGCTGGCTTTGAACTCAGAGATCCAACCTGTCTCTGCTTCCTGAGTGCTGGGATTAAAGGTGTGTGCTACCACTTGGCAATAAACATACATGTTTGTTGTTTTGCTTGGTTTTATTTTTTTGTTTTGTTTTTCGAGACAGGGTTTAACACCCTTGGTTGTCCTCGAACTAAGTCTGTAGACCAGGTTGGCCTCAAACAAAGATGTGAAAAACATACTTTTTTAAAAAGTAATTTTTTTCTTTAAAAATTGGGTAAGACACCCAACAATGGTTTCTGGCTTCCACATACCAACACACACACACACACACACACACAGAGAGAGAGACAGAGAGAGAGAGAGAGACTGAGAGACAGTCCAGCTATTATAGACAAAGGGTCTACTGGTGCCGGCTCTCCAAGCATTAGGACTCTACTCCTTGCCACTTATTCCTAAAGACTACCTGACACCCTGCAGAGGACAGGCTCCTCTTCCAAGAGTTACTTCTGCCAGCCCAGAACAGGGGCAACACTGAACCTACTCCACCGAACCTTCTGAGTGGCCTGCAGACACTATCTAGGAAGAAGTGGGTGGGGAGGAAAGAAGAAGGGAAAAGGGAGGAGGAAGGAGAAACGCTAGTGAATGAAGCTCACTGCACCCAGCCTTCTCCCCACTTAGGCTATTCCCAGTCTCTCCAGAAACTGAACAGGAAGCTAGAGGCCACAATCAGGCCTAGTCTTTGACCTGGGATCTTCAGGTTTTCCGCTCCGCCATCCCGACTCCCAGAGCCTCAATCCTGAGGAACCTGAACCTAAGAAAGTGGGAAATTCCCAAGGCCTTAGCATTTAATCGATATTCACTGGCGTAAGGAACAAGGAAAAAAAAAAGTTAGGTGGAGAAACTTTATCTTCCCTTCACTTGTCCAGCTTTATCAGGAAACCTGGCATAGTAGTTGGCCACTGACGGGCCTTTGAAAAATGACGCTTTTCTGTCGACTAGTGCTAAAACATGACTGCCCTCAATTATAATGGCGGTGCAGGCCTAAGTGAGCTTCTTTTGCCCCTAGGTATTATGGCGGGCAGATTTCACGTAGTTTCTCCTAACCCCGGAAGACCGGGACCGGCGATTGGGCGGTGCCTAAGACACACAGAAGAAGGCCTCTGACGGTTGGACAGCGCAGCGTAAGGCAGGCTTTAAAGAAGCCGGAGGTGGGAGCTGTTGAAAACCCGGATCCTTGGAAAGCTGCGGTGAGCGGCGCAGGGGAGGGGTGGGAGTGTGTGTGTGTGGGGGGGGGACCGGGGGAGAGAGGAGGGCGGGGCGGGGGGCGGAGAAGAAACCTTTTCCCCCAGGTGGTCGGGGCCCCCCGAGAAGGTGGGGGGGGGATCCAAGCGGGGGGGGGGCTTGGGGTGGGATGTTACCGGTGGGCTGGACCTTCTGATATCGGAGTGAATGGTCGGCCGGTTTGACAGTTTAAACCCCAGGATCCGAACTGAGTTCGGTGATGAGTTTAGGCCTCCCCCAAGGGGAACTTCATTAAGCAGAAGCTTTCAGTGGGAGGAGGCGAGTTGCGCGGCTTCTGATTGGAAGAACCGTGCAGTAGGATTCTTTCTGCAGAGATCCAATTTAGGCGATCTGGGAGGAGGGAGGGCTGTTAGTATGTGGAGCAATTCTTTTGGAGCTCTTGCTTGGTGGGGCGAGGACCACAGAGGAATCTAGCGGAAACGGAAGCCTCTCAGGACCGGGATCCCACCGGATCTCAGAGAACCTCAGGGAGGCATCTACAGGGACAAAGGTCCCAGGAGGCTCGAGCTGTGGGAGAGCTGTAACCTCCGCAATCCAGTCTCGCGGCAGGTGCCAGGCAGGGCCCAAGTGATCAAGGCGGCTGCAAGCGGGAGGACCTGGCTCCGAGAAGCCGGCCGGGGGCGCCCTTTGGAGGAAGGGCCTGTGCCCTACCGGGAGCCGCAGGCGGACTATGAAGGGCGGAGTCCTGGGGGAGGAGCTGGCCCTCATTCCCCACTCCCCCGCTCCCCAATTTACCCCAGGCCTCAGCCTGGGATCCCCCAGGGACTCCCCGGAACCGCCGCTTCCCCCATGGACTTGCCTGGGAACTCCAGGTGAGAGCGTACCCCGCCCGCCTGACTTGAGCTCGGGAGACCGGGATGCTGACGGCTGTACCCGACCACAACAGAGCCAACAACAGGTTCAGGCAACTGTCTTCTACTTTCATCCTCCAGCTCTTCTCCACAGCCAAGCCTGTGCCGTCAGCCTCTAGCTCGAGCATTATGGGAAGCCAGGAGCCCGAAAAGACCGAGGCTGCAGCCTTTGGGGACCCCTTCATCCCTGGAAAAGGCCTCTCGGAGGGTCCTGGCCGTGGTGCTGGAAGATGTCATGGCTACAAACAGGGTGAGCCCTTTAAGTGAAAGACCACTCCCTCTTCCCTATCCTCCATCTCCACCCTGGCTAAGTACTAAAGTCAGACCAGCTCCATTAAACCAGCTTCCATAATGCAAGACTTCACGGTACTGGGTAATTCATGTGTCTGTCCAATCACTGGCTCCTCCAACCACATCCTATTAAGTATGAATAACTCTTCTGACTACCTTGTTAATATCTTTTGCTACTGGGTGGGTTCTTCTGTCCTCCCAACCTCCTAACACTAGATAAGGGAGAAAAGGAATAAAGAGGAAAGAAAGCTATCCCCGAGTAAAGGCAGGGTAGAGAAGGGAGCAAGGTTAGACTACTTTCTGCTGATTAGGGGTATCGAGTTCCTTGGGGCATGTTTAACCTTTGCCATCAGGATATCTAATTTCTTCTTGTGAATAATAACAAACATCCAATCAACAACCCACCAATTCCTCGGGGGCCTTGGCATTTATATGTCCTCTGAAAAGTCCCCAGAATTCCAAATGTCATACAATTGCAGAAACTATTTGCAGCTGGTAAAATTACTCCCCTGCTGGAGGCAAATCATAGTAAGTTGCTGTGGACAATCTAAAGCAGCCCCACATCCCACACCTGGGATTAAAACAAAAACATAATATTTTTGTGATTATTTTTTTTAAGAAACCAAAAATCCAAAATTGTCACTTCTCTGTCCTCTTGGAAAGCATGCTGGTGGTGTCTTTGGCCATAAGACAGAGATGAGAACAATGGCACTGTCTTTTACCATTTCTCCAGAGCCTGGGTGAGCACAGCAGACTACATTTCACACCTGCAGTTCCTAATATCTCACCCCTAAATTAGACCAAATCATATCTTTTAGGGATTTGAGGTATTCTAGCTAAAATATCTACCACCTTTGTGGCTAAACATAGTGAGACACAAAAGAACCTGTCCAGTCATTCTATTACTCTGGTTTTTGTTGTTGTTTTGTCTTACTGAGACAGGGTCTCAACTTTTATCCCAGGCTGACCTGGAACTCAGAGCAATCCTCTTGTGTTAGCTTCACAAACGCTGGGATTATAGTCGTGAACCCAGCTTTGCTTGCTTCTAACAGCTCTTCTTCTTGTAGGTCCCCCTGACATACACAGAGGACACTTCCAGCCCACGGAATCACAGCCATCATCAGGACTCTGTCTGCACAGAGTCACCTGCTTTTCCACCCCAGCAGCTCAAGTGGCCCCTGCCAGCCAGGTAAGCGTCAAAGGGAAGGGATAGACTGAGAAGACAGCTGAGCCCAGAGCCCACTGACATTCTTGTTCTTTCTCCAGGCCTCCTGACCCACTGCATTTGTGCAGAGAACCCTTGAGTCGTATCCGCCAGTCCTCACCCACCTTGAGAATGAGATCAAGGACAGCTCCTGGCCCAGAGGAGAGCCCTTCTCAAAAGACAGACCAGGTCCCCCAGCCCACCCTGGTGGTGGTACTGGAAGACATTGCCAGTGCCAGACAACCAGCTGAGGTAAGAAAGTACAGTGAAGATGTCTGGGTCCAGTTAGGGCAAGCATGGGGCTGGAGGTGGATTTCTGTGAAGGCCAAAACAACAGGTGTTTGTCTGTCTCTTTGTTTGTTTTGACACAAAGTCTCAATATATAGACTTGGGTGGCCTAAAACTTGCTATGTAGACTAGGCTATCCCAATTTATAGCCTGCATCTACTTTTCAAGTACTGGGATAAAGGCATGCCACTACCCCAATGACAACAAAATTTTATGTGGTAGACACTACTTGAATAAATGAAGTAAGAAAAAAAAAATCTCTGTATACAACCAAGCAGATCTGGGGAATAAGTTAGGACATGGGGAGCTGTAGAAGCCAAAAATGGTTTCCTGCTTTTTCTAAACACCTCCCCTGTTTATATCCAGGGCTTTGCTGAAGATCGGCCCAACCTCATTGTCCCAGCACAAAGGTGAGGGGGGGAGTTATCAAAGCTATCATCCAGATATCCAGAGCTAGGGGCATCAGGATTTAACTTGTCTAATCCTTTCTTATAGCACCTTCAGAAGCCTTAATGGCCAGGAGAAGCACTGGCATAGAAGAGACCTGGACTTGGAAGCACCCTCAACTCTCTCTTTGTCCCTTCACCCCAGAGCTGAGCCTATGACAAAAGTTGGTCAGCCAATGCCTTCACCCAGTGACCTAGAACCCCCATGCCAACTGTCCACTCTACCTGCAGATCCTCCAGAGAGCCCAGTACCAGGTAAGGACTTGAATACAGGAATGAGACTCAAGAGTTTGGAATTGCCACTGTGAGCTTGAAACAAACTGTGGATGGGGCTTGGCCAGCTCCCAGGGCAGAGCCTGATGTGTAACAATGGGATTTGGGTCTCAGGGAACTGAGGAGTTCTGGTTTTGCTTTGTAGAACTGGGGATCAAATCCAGGGCTTAGGGCTTTAGGCAATCCTATTACAACAGTTTTGGAGCAGGTTCACTCCTCTAGAGACAGATTAGTGTTTGGGGGGAGAGACTAAGGCTTATGAGGTGATGCTTTAATCACCTGAGGGTGAGGAATACCTACCTGTGACACTCCCCTCTCTTCAACTGCAGATCTTGCTCTGGAGACCCCACTGACCCCAACATCGTCCAGCCTTTTACGCCCCCGTCTCAGTCCCTGGGGCTTGGCCCCTCTCTTCCGTTCTGTCCGATCAAAGCTGGAGAGCTTTGCTGATATCTTCCTCACACCTAACAAAGCACCACAACCTCCACCCCCTTCACCTCCCATGAAATTGGAGTTGAAGATTGCCATCTCGGAGGCTGAGCAGTCCAGGGCTACTGAGAAAATGACATCTGTCAGCCCCCGGCCTCCTATCCGCCAGTGGCGGACTCAGTGCAGTTCCCCAGCACCTGTCCCTAAGTTGTCTCTGGGACGAAGCTACTCCTGCCCTGATCTAGGGCCCCCTGACACAGGTAGCTGGCCTCCTGCTCCATCCCAGCCAAGCCAGTCCAGGCCCCGGAGACATACTGTGGGTTGTGGGGAGATGTCCCGGACCCCACCACCTCCTCGGCCCTGTCTCCGGAAAGAGGTCTTCCCTCTTGGAGGAGTCGGAGTCTCGCCTTCTCTCACTACATCTTGCTCAGCCAATGCCTCTACTTCCTTCTTCTGTGAGCCGGCAGAACCCAGGTAGTGCTCTCAATACCCCCTCTGGAAGTCTGGCCTCAGCCTGAGCCTGGCCTCCTTTGCTCAGTATTCACTGACAGAAGACGGGTGTATTGCTGTGTATTCCCTTCTCCTGACTGTTGACCATCTCTGCAGATTGGGTTCAATGAAGGGGAAGGAGTTAAGAGCCTCAAAAGACAAGGTGTTTTCTGATCCCGAGACCAAGGTAATGAATGAGTAGAAAGACAGGAGCCAGCCGAGACCTGAGCCCAAGCCTCTCTTTCACCCTCTGCCCCATTTTTGCAGACCATGGGGAAAGTCTCTAGATTCAGAATACGGAGGACACCTGTCCGTCTCCAACCAAACCTTACACCAATGGGGCTGCCTCGACCAATAAGGTAAGAGGCGTAGAGAGCAGGGAGCTACCTTGACCAAGTAAGTGACAGATAGTCCTATTCCTCTCAGGGACAACCTGGAACATTAAGTTTGGCATGGACAAGCTTAGAACTTGTGCTTAGAACTTCCTCAATATCACTTCTGACTCTCACCTGGCCCAGAAACCAAAATTCCCATCAGCATCAGGCTTTGCCTATACCTTCTCAGTGCCCTCGCTCTTTGTTTCCAGGTTGAATAAAAAGGAGTTCACTCTGGAAGAAATTTATACCAATAAGAATTACCAATCACCCACAGCCAGAAGGTGAGAAACTTGGAAGGTCTGAGGGCAGTACAGGGCTGTTTGAACCACGGAGAATCCTTGTAAAGAAAGATCTCTTCTTCTTGCCTGACCCAGGACCTTTGAGACCATTTTTGAGGAACCACGGGAGCGCAATGGAATTCTGATTTTTACCAGCTCTAGGAAGCTCCGAAGGGCAGTAGAATTTCGGGACAGTAGTCTTCCTCGATCCCGGCGACCATCACGAGGGGTCCGCACTGCAGCAAGCAGAACCCTTACTCCCAACCTGGCACCCAGCCAGGATGTGGGCTGTCTACTGCAAGAACGGCTGAAAGAGCTAGATGCCTTGCTCCTGGAGGAGGAAATAGACAGGGAACACCCTTGTCACCTCTAGGAGCTCCAACTGTTTGTCCATCCGTCCTTTAGGGAGGGGAGAAATCTCTGAATCAATTGTATTTTTTTTCTCCATATTTCTATAAAGTTTTCAATATATGTTTCTGACTCCTTTGTGTCTCCAGCAGAATTTGAGATCAATTAGTTATATGCTAGCTGATGTTTTTATGTTTGTCAACAAAGGAGTAGAAAAGGGGGGACAGTATCAGAAAAAAAGGGTTGCAAAAAAGGGAATGGAGTGGTCACTGGAGAGCCCACCCCTCATCCCCTGGCAGTACTGGGGATCAACTACATCCCCAGATCAGAGATAACATTCTTGAGAACTCTTTTATGAGGTGATATGTATGCCATGGGTACACATTTACATCACAGAAATTAAAAGGCTTTGGAACAGATTAAGTAATGCTTTGATCAAGATGGTCTTCCTCCCAAATTCACCCACTTAGGACAATCTATCATAGATATTTAACCGGCACAGGGCCTACTAGGGAAGCACCATATTATTTAAACAAGAAAACAAGGTTTGTCAAGGAAACATCCACATTAAAATAACAGCCAGGGCCAGCTGAGATGGCTCAACTGATAAAAGGCGCTTGGCACATGAGCTTAGTGACCAGAATTCGATCCCCAACACCCATGAAGATGTTGAAGACTCCACAAAGTTGTCCTTTGGTCTCAACATGCATGTAATGGCACTCGTACGCCCACATACATCACGCCCACACAATAATGATACATTAAACAAATCAGATCAGAGTGGTACAACGTAAGAGCTGCAGATGGTGGCACAGTGGCCAGGACCTTCACTCGAGCTAGAATCCTGGCAGTTTGTATACAAATATATCTTTAGTAAAATGGGTCGAATAGAAAATATTTACCTCGGAACTCATTATCAAATGAATTAATGCGAGAGCGTACTTGCACTCCAGTGCAAAGTGTTTATTATTGTTGAGCACTGGAAGGGATGGCCACTGCTCCAACCCCGCAGAAACAGGAGCTTGGTCTCCGCCCCACCGCTGACTCTGGTGAAGGGTGCCTCGGTGTGCTGCAACGCCACGGTAGACCGATCCGCCCAAAGACGGGCAGAAGGCACTAGCGCCATGCGCTTGCGCGAAATACCAACAAGCAAAAAAGGCTATACATCAGGGAAGCGCACCTAGGACAGCCTAACGCCTACTTCAGGCACCACCTTCCAGTGCCTCGCCTCGTCGCCGTCAGTCGATGGCCAATAAACAGAGAGCAGGAAGAGGCGGGTGGCCTAGACCCCTCCAAACACCTACTTCAGACCAGTCCAGTCACAAGACCTGGGGAGGGCGGGGCTAACCTGACAACCCAATCCAAGATTTGAAGGCGGTTACATCCGGCACTCCCGCGACTTTGACTCCGCCCTTTGCATTGACGTATACTTGCCAACCTATAAACGACTGAGCCTCGGAGGGAGGGGGAAGGAGGCGGAGAGAGGAAGGAGGCGTTGGCTGAGGAGGGAGAGGGAGGAGGGGCAGGGAAGTTCTGGTGGAGAAGAAGCCGAAGACTCCAAAGAAGACAACAGGAGGATACCGTGGAGTTCCTCGCTGCCCAGCGGCCTTTCCGGATCCTTCTAGATACAAGCCAGTTAGGAACGGAGGAAAGGAGGAAGAGTCTTTTATGTCGGAGGACAGAGAGAGAAGCTCTATCCGTCACCGTTGCCTCACATCCGGGACTTTGGAAGACAGGCTCCGCCCCCTTGCACCTTTCAAGGCTACGGGAGGCGTAGACCTCTTTAAATCTCCTTAAAGGGGTGGGTACCGAACTCGGCCGACTCCAACGCCATCCTTAAAGGGGAAAGCAGCCGAAGCTGACAACTCCTGTAGGAAGAATTGGGGCAAGTGGAGTTTTCCTACCTCCTGTCCCACACAAGAAGTTCATTAAATTCGTCTTAAAGGAAAAGTGACAGCTTGTGAAGGGCTAGAAACTTCACTACGCTCTCCTAAAAGGAACGACTCGCTGTTTGAAGGCCTCTGGACTCTTTAAAGGGGTGGCCTCTTTCAGCCGGAGGACTTAAGACACTTTTAAAGGGGAGGTCGTGCTTTCCGCCCCTTTTAAAGGGGTGGTCCTTCCTCTTCCTCTGGGAGACTTGCCTCGACCCCTGGCACGGGGCCGCCACCGCACTAGACCAGCCGGACACTGTGGAGTCGTCTTAAAGGGGCCGGGGGCTGGACAATTTGAGGCCTCGCCTTAAAGGGACGGCCGCCCAGTTTTAGTCGTCGCGGCCCCGCCAGCCCTACAGGGGGGCCTTCAGGCTTGTCGCCCCGGGGGCGGCGCCGGCTCTCTGGGCCTTGGCCTTGGGGCAAGCCGAGGGCCAGCGGATCCTGTTTTAAAGAGGAAGCCGGAGCTCTCTCGTCCCTGTGCAAGCGCCAGCGCCGCGCTCGGGACCCGGGGCCTGTGGACAGGCCGCTTCGGGCCCCGCCGCCTCCGGATGCGGCGCTGAGGGCCGTCACCATGGAGACGGCCGCGGCCCCTGGCCCGGGCTGGGCAGCTGAAGGGGAGCGGCGACGAAGACGCTGTTCGCGGCGAGACCGTGATCGGGAGCAGCGGCGCCGCCGAGGTCCAGGCGGTGACGCGCCCCGGGCCTTGTTGGCCGCCCCGCGAGGCTCTTCATCCTCCTCGTCACCGCCGCCACCCGCCCGTCCCTGGTCGTCAGCTTCATCTGGAGAGCGGCCTGGGGGCCTAAGACGGCGGCGGCCCCGACCCAGGCCTCGACCCCCTAGACCCCGGGCTCGGAAGCGGCCTGCCGGCTCGGGCAGCCGCGGAGAGGAGGAAGAGGAGGAGGAAGAGGGGGGAGCGGACGACGGAGAAGCTGAGGAGGAGCCTGAGGAGGAGGACGAGGAGGAAGACTTGATCGATGGTTTTGCCATCGCTAGCTTTGCCAGCCTTGAGGCCTTGCAGGTGTGCCCTAATGGGATTTGGGGGTCTTTGGGAGGTGGGTCAGGAGGGCAGAGAGAAGGATATGTCCCTTACAGAAGATGGGGTTGAGGGGCCAGTGGTGACACCCCAAACCAGAGCAACCGGCTCCTCTTGCCAGGCTCCTGCCCCACCCTGGGGTGGGAGGAGGTAGAGCTAGTCTCTGGGGACTACCTAGGTTACCCTGCTTGAGAGACATTTGAGTAACTTGGTCACCCTTAGAGAGTTGGAGAGCTTTTCTTTCTCCAACCATATTTCCACCACCTCTTCTACAGAAGGATGCATCTCTTCAGCCCCCAGAACGACTGGAACATCGGCTGAAGCATTCTGGGAAACGGAAGAGGGGGGGCTCCAGTGGGGCCACTGGGGAGCCAGGGGACAGCTCAGACCGTGAGCCTGGCCGACCTCCTGGGGATAGGCCCCGTAAATGGCCCAATAAGCGAAGGAGGAAAGAGGTGAGCTTGTCCCAGATCCCAGTCCTTCACAATTCTTCAGAATATCATTCACGTAGATTGACTGTCCGTGAGCATCACAAATGCCAATCCTAGACAGTAATCCTAGTTTCTAGGAGCACAGAGAAAGGTAGAAAAAATTGGACAGCAGCCCCATCTCCAGTCCAGGTCTGAAGGACTTAACTACGGTCAAACTCACTTGCTTTTGCTTGTGCTATGTATACTACAAACATGTGATAATTCAAGAGACACATCAAAGACACTGAGTGGAATTATAAATAAGATAGATGTTTCTGCCCACTCGTCTAGCTGGTGGCAGCCTACAGGGAAACAGCCAACAAGCAAACACCTAGACTAGCTTGAACAGCTGTACAAGGCTGGGAGAGGTCTAGGCAAAGTGCTACAGAAACCCACATGAGGAAGCCAGTCATTCTGTCTGGGGGATGGGCAGAGGGTTGCGGTTAGGGAAAGCCCCCTAGAATGTCTTGGGCCCCACAGCAGTCAGAAGTTTGCTGAGGAAAGAAATGAAGAAAAGTTGTTTTGAATAAAATTTGAGATTTGAGAACTTAGTATAGTAAGAAAATAGTAAGATCGTCAGCAGTGGACGTGGGAAGTATACAAAGAAACTGGAAAAAGTGATGGAGAGTAGTTTTTAAGTGCCCTTAAATGTCTTGCTGGGAGTTGTGGCTTTGTACAGTTGCCTGGTCAGTCAGCCTCCCTTACTGTGGCCTCTGGTCTTCCTCAGGCCTTCTCCCGTCACTCTCTGGAAGCTGGATATATAGTAAGTGCTGCCTACCTGGAATGGCCTTCCCTTCCCTTCCCTCCCCTCCCCTCCCTTCCCCTCCCCTCCCCTTCCCTTCCCTGGTAGGTCCCTCTCCTCTTCCATCTCCTGATTGTCTTTCTCTTTCCTTCTCAGTGTGATGCAGAAAGTGATCTGGATGAGAGGGTGAGTGGGGATAGGGCTCGTTGGGTGGGCACTGTTGCAGATGTTTAAAGAACTCCCACAAGCAACAGACATCCTTCCTAAACAGGAACATGGAGTATATTGAACCAGAATTAAGTTTTGAGGAGGAACGGAGGGAAGAAAAAGGTGTTGGGATGCAGGGTGAGGCCACAGTGTCCATGTGGTTTTGAGGGGTCAGTTCTCTCCTTCCAACATGAGGTGGAACTCAAGTTATCAGGCTTCACAAGTGCTGTTACCTGCTGGGTTAACTTACTGGCTCTGTTTCGGGTTTGTTTGGTTGGTTGGTTTGGTTTGATTTGAGGGTTTGTTTGTTTGATTTGTGTTTTTTTAATCTTGTGTGTGGGTGTTTTGTCTGCATGTATGTCTGCGTATCACCTGTGTGCAGTGCTTGAGAAGGCCAGAAGAGGGTATCAGATCCCTAGGAACTGGAGTTACAGACAGTTGTGAGCCTCCACGTGGGTGGTAGGAGTTGAACCTGGATCTTCTGGAAGAGCAGCCAGGGCTCTTAACTGCTGATCTGTCTCTCCAAACATGATGCCACCCCTCCACCTATTTTTTTAATGATGAACATGGCTAGGTAATCAGTGAATCAAAAGGTCAGTTAGTCTGGCAACCTTCTCAGAACCTTTTAAGCCTCTACTAGCTTTCTACAGGAGTCCAAAGTGAGTCTGGAGCTGAATGGTCCTCCTGTGGCCACCAGCATTTTTTGTATAATTAGAATCTTGCAGGGAGGACATCAGACCATGGTTCATCAGTGCAGATGCTTATCCTGGAAAGCTCTTTCAGTTTCTCAGTAGTGATTGTGGGTAAATAGTGGTGCCCTTGAAGGTAATGTTCTATCCCTTTACTCCCATAAGTAACTATATTTATACTCTCTGATGTTTGTCTCTTTTTTTTTTCCTTCTCAAAGTTAAAAGTAATTGTGAGCTAAAGGGTTATGGTTTACGTACAGGGCTGGAGTCACTATCCAATTTTAACTATTGTCACATGAGAATAGGGGACTGTTGTCAAAAAGCCTTCATCTGTGTTTTAGCATGGAGTTTCCAGCTCTGAGAATATCACCAATTTTAAGGTTTTGGTTTGTTGTTTCATTTTGGTTTTGGTTTGTCTGTTTGTTTGTTTGTTTGTTTGTTAATATTTTCAAGCCATATATATCTACAGGCCAGTTAGTGTTTTGTATTAGCAGTTAGTCTGGTTTGTTGTGTTTTTTTTTTTAATTATTTTATTAGGACCAGGCATAATGATGTACACCTTTCATCCTAGCACTCAGGAGGCAAAGGCAGGCAAGTCTCAATTGAGTTCAAGACCAGCCAAGGGTACATATTGAGACCCTATCTCAAAACAAGCAAAAAAGATTACTTTTTGATTATGTATATGTTTCTATATGCATGAGTACAGATGCCTTCAGAGACCAGAGAAATCAGTTCCCCCTAAAACTGGAATTACAGGCTGTTGTTAACTACCTGACACGGGTACTAGGGATCTAACTCGGGTCTTCTGAAGAGAAATAAACAGTCCTAACTGCTTAGCCGTTTCTACAGCTCTCCAGCAGTTAGTTGACATTGCTTTGATCTGCTGTCATCTCTGCCACCTCTGGCATAGCCGAATTTTGGCCTCAGTGGCTCCAGTTCCTTCTTAAGTTCCCTAAAGCCAACATTGCAATGGATGATAGTGAGGCTGATGAAATAGACACGGCTTCAAAACCTCAGCTTTCCTGCCTTTCTCTCCCAGGTTTCTGATGATGACCTCGACCCTTCCTTTACTGTCTCAACCAGCAAAGGTTGGTCCTAAGGGCTGGGATGGAAGCATGAAAGAGAAACGGGTGAGCATGAACCACGCTAAGCATGTCTACCATCCTGCACTCACAGCCTCGGGTCCTCATGGCACCTTCAATGGGAACTGTGAAGCAAAACTGTCTGTGGTCCCTAAAGTGTCGGGCCTGGAGC